GATACAAGCTAAAACTAACGATACAAGCTAAAACTAACGATACAAGCTAAAACAAACAATATGAGCTAAAACAAACAATACGGGCTAAAACAAACGATACAAGCTAAAACAAACGATACAAGCTAAAACAAACGATACAAGCTAAAACAAACGATACAAGCTAAAACAAACAGTACAAGCTAAAACAAACTGTACAAGCTGAAACAAACATACAAGTTAAAACAAACAATACAAGCTAAAACAAACAATACAAGCTAAAACAAACGATACAAGCTAAAACAAACGATACAAGCTGAAACAAACGATACAAGCTAAAACAAACGATACAAGCTAAAACAAACGATACAAGATAAAACAAACAATATGAGCTGAAACAAACAATACGAGCTAAAACAAATGATACAAGCTGAAACAAACGATACGAGCTAAAACAAACGATACAAGCTAAAACTAACGATACGAACTAAATCAAACAATACAAGCTAAATCAAACAATACAAGCTAAAACAAACAATACAAGCCAAAACAACCAATAGAAGCTAAAACAAATGATATGAGCTAAAACAAGCGATACAAGCTAAAACTAATGATATGAGCTATAACAAACGATACAAGCTAAAACAAACGACATGAGCTAAAACAAACAATACGAGCTAAAACAAACGATACGAGCTAAAGCAAACGATACAAGCTGAAACAAACGATACAATCTAAAACAAACGATACAATCTAAAACAAACGATACAATCTAAAACAAACAATAAAAGCTAAAACAAACAATAAAAGCTAAAACAAACAATACAAGCTAAAACAAACAATACAAGCCAAAACAACCAATAGAAACTAAAACAAATGACATGAGCTAAAACAAGCGATATGAGCTAAAACAAACGATATGAGCTAAAACAAACGATACGAGCTAAAACAAACGATATGAGCTAAAACAAACGATACAAGCTGAAACAAACGATACAATCTAAAACAAACGATACAAGCTAAAACAAACGATACAAGCTAAAACAAACGATACAAGCTGAAACAAACAATACAAGCTGAAACAAAATATACAATCTAAAAGAAACGATACAATCTAAAACAAACGATACAAGGTGAAACAAACGATACAAGGTGAAACAAACGATACAAGGTGAAACAAACGATACAAGGTGAAACAAAATATACAATCTAAAAGAAACGATACAAGGTGAAACAAACGATACAAGGTGAAACAAACGATACAAGCTAAAACAAACGATACAAGCTGAAACAAACGATACGAGCTAAAACAAATGATACGAGCTGAAACAAACGATACGAGCTGAAACAAACGATACAAGCTGAAACAAACGATACAATCTAAAACAAACGATACAAGCTAAAACAAACGATACAAGCTGAAACAAACGATACAAGCTGAAACAAAATATACAATCTAAAAGAAACGATACAATCTAAAACAAATGATACAAGGTGAAACAAACGATGCAAGCTGAAACAAACGATGCAAGCTGAAACAAACGATACAAGCTAAAACAAACGATACAAGCTGAAACAAACGATACAAGCTGAAACAAACGATACAAGCTAAAACAAACGATACAAGCTAAAACAAACGATGCAAGCTGAAACAAACGATACAAGCTAAAACAAACGATACAAGCTAAAACAAACGATACAAGCTAAAACAAACGATGCAAGCTGAAACAAACGATACGAACTAAAGCAAACGATACAAGCTGAAACAAACGATACAAGCTAAAACAAACGATACAAGCTAAAACAAACGATACAAGCTGAACCAAACAATACGAGGTAAAACAAACGATACAATCTAAAACAAACGATACAAACTGAAACAAACGTTACAATCTAAAACAAACGATACTAGCTGAAACAAACAATACGAGCTAAAACAAACGATACAAGCTGACACAAACGATACAATCTAAAACAAACGATACAAGCTGAAACAAACGATACGAGCTAAAACAATACATGATATGACAGGTTAACATGGTTTATAACGTGGCTTTAGTTTTATTAGGAAAACCTACAGATAAAACTATAAACAGAGTAAATGCTGACTCAGCATTGTTATAATAATAATAATAATAATAATAATAATAATATTGTCAGGGTTCCTCCTGAAGTTGAATTTCAGATGAACTAAGTTTTCTGCTGAATGTGTTCACTTCCTGTCCTCAGGCTGGCAGCCCCGCTGGTTTGTCCTGGAGAACGGAGTCATCTCGTACTACGACAGCGAGGACGACGTCGGCAAAGGCAGCAAAGGATCCATCAAGATGTCTGTGTGTGACATTAAAGGTTGTACAGCTCGGCCCTTCTCAGTGACATGACGTTAGAGGTAAACGCATCCATCACACGCTGCTCATGCTTTCTGTTTCAGTCCACCCCACGGACTCGACTCGTCTGGAGTTAATCATTCCTGGCGAGCAGCATTTCTACGTGCGAGCTGTGAACGCTGCAGAGAGGCAGAGGTGGCTCGTCGCTCTGGGCTCATCTAAAGCTGGGACCCTGGAAAGCCACAAACACAGAGGTCTGCAAACATTCAACACCTAGCAAATGACTTTATAAATGTTGTAGACCGGACTGGTGCTGAAGGTGTTGACAGTTTGTTCAGCATCTAAACTAAAATAAGCTTCTTAAACAGTTTGCTGTAACTCGTCATGTTTTCTCTGATGTCAGGTCCAGACTGTCTGAAGACAAAGATGTCTGAACTGCGTCTGTACTGTGACCTGCTTGTGCAGCAGGTCCAAACCATCCAATCACAGCACACTGTGGAAACAGAGGCCACGCCCACCTCTGAGGTGACAGAGCCTTTTTAACACTTGTTTCCTGTTTGTTGGTTTTATTTAACCCTTTTGAAACGTTCACTCTCACTGCACTAACTCACTAAACATGATAACTCACAGCTGGATAAATAAACACCAACAAGATACATCAGAATACACTCCTGAGTCAGTTACCAGATGGAAAATCAGAGGGCTTAAATTTAATACTGTTTATCTAAATTACAGCTTCTACACTTTAGTGTTTGCTGCTTTTATAAGCGTTTGGCTAAGGTTGATTAGCTCTGGTGACCCTCATGAATAAGGCATGTGCAACCAGTTCTAACTGTGGTACATGAGATATTTTGCTAACAAACACGGGTGGGCAGTAAGTGTTAGATGTCTACTGTTTGGTCTCTTCTCAGGCCTCGCTGCTCAGTGCCACCTGTGAGACTTTCATCAGGACTTTGGAGGAGTGTATGAGTCTGGCCAACCAGAGTTTGACCCCTGACCTCCGACCCCCTGAAAGGGTAATTTCACTTCCTGTTCCTAAATGACTTTAACCATCAGGCTCAGAGTTGAAAGCTTTATGCAAGGCAGAGGATTGTTTTTAATTGTTTCTGTGACATCATCAATAATGCCCAGCTCTGATTGGACAGTGAGGAACATGTGACTTTGCTGAGTCATCTTGAGTTTGATCATCTTATCAGATGGAACAGATCAGTGGCCTGAAGTTTAACTAAAAAAACTGTAATTTTTATCTAAACCTAGTTTAAAATCGGGGATAGCATGGTTGTGAGATGTTGGTAAAATTACTGTGCTTTACTCTGAGTCTCTCAAAGATAACTGAACTTCTCAAACACATGTAGACTGGATCAGTAAACTTCCGTGACCCCTCGAAGACCCTAGTGAGGGTAAAGACTTGGTCCAGGATGTTACCCCATATTGTTCCTCCAGAATCTGAGGTTTGACCATCGATCGGACTCTCGTCTCCAGCACCCCTGAAAAGGCCTTATTATTGTGGTTCCTCTGTCATTGGAGCACACCCCTGTGGTCCTTTTTAAAGAGGGGAACCACCACAGTCTGCCAATCCAGTGGCACAGCCCCCAATGTCCACGTGATGTTGCAAAGATAAATGTGGCGTGTCTACAAGGACAGCCCCACAACATCCAGAGCCTTGAGGAAATCAGGACGGATCTCATCCACCCCTGAAGCCCTGCTGCCGTGGAGCCCTAGTTATGGATGGATCAACCCTGAAGTCCTCAGACTCTGCTTCCTCCATAGAAGACGTGCCGGTTGTATTGAGAAGGTCCAAGAAGTACAGTATTCCTCCCACGTCCCGACGACGTCACTGGTTGAGGTCAGCAGCACCCCACCTCCACTGAGCAGAGTGTTAGTGAAGTGCTGCTTCCTCCGCCTCAGCCGCTGGATGGTTTGACAGAATCTCCTCGGAGCCGATCGAGAGTCTTTGTCCAAGGTCAGCATCATCCAGGGCTGTGGTCGGCTTGGCCTGACAATGCTCCTCTAGAGTCCTACCAACCAACAAGGCCTTCAGCTCGACAGCCTCCCTGTCTCAGGCTGTCTACCACTGAGTTCGAGGATGGCCACTGCTAGAAGCACAAACGAGCATGAGGCCACACTCAAGGCAGCTGTCTCAACGATTGAGGCGTGGACCATGGCCCACTCATAATGTCTGTATTAAAAATGTGTTTTTGTCTGTCTGCACAGATGAAGAGGTCCATCAGCCATCCTGGAACATACAGCTTTGACAGGTCAGTTCTAACACATTCAAGGTGGTTTAAAACCTTAAAATAGAAATGATTTTATATTTTGTGTTATATGTTGTCGACTTTTTTCAGTTGATTTTATCAGATCTCTCTTGGGGATCAGTAAATTATTTTTGAATTTGAATTTTAGATAACAGACAAAACATTGTTTTTATTTTAAATCTGCTTCACATAATCTATTTTCTTCAACCCTGCCTGATGTTCACTAAATTCATCTTCGCACCTGTAGGGGGCAGCGTTTCATCATCTGTGGCAGAGTCATATTTTCAGGTCAGGACACAGTCAGCTGGTTTTGAACAAGGAAATCCCTGCTGAGGGTAACTTTAATCCTCTCAACCAGAGTTACTCTGAGGGGGAAATTTTGTTTGTTCAGACCCAGAACAGGAAATATTGTTGTAGATATTTAAACAAACACAAGTGAAAGAAAATCTCATTTCAGTATTTTCTGATGAGGACTTATTTACTTTGACCTACTACAGGATTTCTTGTTTTTCACACAACATGAGGAAATCTTCTGATTGGAAGCATTTTGAGTTTTTATTTTGTATAAGAAACTTTTTTTTTCTCGTCTTGTGAAGCTGAAGTGAAAAAGAAACGTTTCTGTCTTCATCTCAACGTTTCTTTATCACCACATGAACCGGGAGGAAAACATCTGAACATACAAAGATCCGTTCAATAATGTCAGCACAAAAAGTTATTTTAAGAACACAGAAGAGGATCAAATCTGAGCTGTACAAAGGAGGACCTCAGGTGATTAAAACCTGCACTCTGAGGGACGTCCTCCTCATCAGCTGTCCCACCTGGTCTCAGCTAAGGAGGTCCTGTAGAGCAGCTGGAGGCACAGAAACCAGGTGACCATGTGATCGGCTGGAGAAGCTAACGGCTAACGCTAAATGGGCAAGAGTCTGGATTTCTTTACTGTACATGTTGACAACAGAGCAGAAAAAAAGTACTGACAATGTAGAAATCATGAAAACTATTAATAATAATATTAACCCAATTATTATTAATATTTTACAGTTTATATAATCTATCTAATGTTTTAAATAATGGCAGAAAAGCTGTTTGTGTTATGGATTTATTAACAGAAGATAAACATGAAAACGTCTCATTTTACAACACAAGTCAGCAGATTTGATCTTATTTATCTCAATGTGATCTGAGCAGAACATAATGTAACAGTTTAAAATTAAAATAATCTTATAAAGTCCATGTAATCACTGTTATTTATTGAAATGGTTAGAAGATATTAGCTTGTGGAGCATATACAGTGGGGAGAACTAGTATTTGATACACTGTTGATTTTTCAGGTTTTCTCACTTGCAAAGCTTGTAGATGACTGTAATTTTTATCATAGGTACTCTTCAACTGTGAGTGATGGAATCTAAAACAAAAATCCAGAAAAATTGATCTTTGCTCATTGATCTTGAGGAAGGTGAGGAATGAGCCCAGAACTACACGGCAGGACCTGGTCAATGACCTGAATAGAGC